CTGAATTAGCAAATATCGGACCAATTCTCCTACGTGAGATACAGGGCAAGGTTCCCATGAGCCTCTGGTCACATTTTTGTCAACTGATCAATCCATAACCTTGCTTTATGTGTGTTTCTGTTGAAAGGCTCCTTATTAATCTTATATTGTTGATTCATTAACATTTAAAAGTTTACCATTAAATTTAAGGCCAATAGCACCATTTGTTGTTGTTAAGTGTCATTGAATCAGTTCTGACCCATAGCGACCCTGATAGGGTTTTGGAGGAACGGCTGGTGAGCTTGAACCTTGTGGCTCAAACCAACTATGCAGTCTAGTGCATTAATCCACAGCGCCACACCAGTAGTCCATAATGCATGCCTCAATGAAGATTACCTATTTTCTCCATAAGGCACCTGGCACCCTTTTGAATTTAGGAATCCTAGGTAGCACTTCAGCTTTATGTTGGGTGGCCATTTTAAACAGCAAAATCTCTCCCCGCAAAGCACAAAATTGTGAAAAACATGGCACTAATCTTGAAGTTATATGGTTTATTATGCCAGAAGTGACAAATTGAAGAAGAATGGTGTCATATTCAACATAAAAACCAGTATTTCAAGATCTGTCTTGAAGTATAAGGAGCTCTGGTAGCGTAGTGGTTACAAATTGGGCTGCTAACCTCAAGGTTGGCAGTTCGAAACTATAACTATGAGCCGTTCCACAGGAGAAAGATGAGGCATTCAGCTCCCGTAATGATTTACAGCCTCGGAAACCCTATATGGGGTCACTATGAGTCGGAACTGACTCCATGGCACATAACATCCACCACCATCTTGAAGTATAATGCTGTCTGTGATAGGATAATATACATACACCAACAAAGACCAGTTAATACCACTGTTACTCAAATTTATGTGCCAACCACTAAAGCCAGTACTAAAGTATTCTACCAACTTCTTCAATCTAAAATGGATCAAATATGCAACCCATATGTATTGATAATGACTTGCGACTAGAATGCAAAGGTTGGAAACAAAGAGGAAGGCTCAGTAGTTGGAAAATATGGCCTTGGTGATAGAAATTATTCTGGAGATCATGTGATAGAATTTTTCAAGGCCAACAATTTATTCATTGTAAATACCTTTTTTAAACAATGTGAAAGATGACTATGCATATGGACCTCACCAGATGTAATACACAGAAATCAAATTGACTACATCTGTGGAAAGAGACGGTGGAACAACTCCATATCATCAGTCAAAATAGGCCTGGGGCAGACTGTGGAACAGACAAAAATTGCTCACATGCAAGTTCAGGCTGAAGCTGAAGAAAACACAGGTCCACACGAGCCAAACTATGATCATGAACGTATCCCATCTGAATTTAGAGATCCTGTCAAGAAAAGATTTGTTGCATTAGACCCTAATGTCCAAAGACCACAAGAGTTGTGGGACGACATCAAGAACACCATACGGAAGAAAGCAAAAGGTCATTACAAAGACAAGAATGAAGAAAAAGACGAAAATGGATGTCAGAAGAGACTAAAACTTCTCCAGCATAGAGATGCCAAAGCAAATGGAAGAAATGAAGAGGTAAACGAGCTGAATAGACTATTTCCAAGGGGAACTTGAGAAGACAAAGTCAAATATTATAATGAAATATTCGAAGACCTGGAGTTACACAACCACAAGGGAAGAAGCAGCTCAACATTTCTCAAGCTGAAAGAACTGAAGAAAAAATTCAAGCCTCACCTTGAAATACTGAAATATTCTTTGACAAAATATTGAATGATGCAGAATGCATCAAAAGAAGATGGAAGAAATACACAGAGTCATGATACCAAAAAGAAATGGTTGAAGTCCAATCATTTCAAGAGGTAGCATATGATCAAGAGCTAGTGGTACCGAAGGAAGAAGTCCAAAGTTGCACAGAAGACCTTGGCAAAGGACAAAGCCCCAGGAATTGATGGAATACAAATCGAAATCTTTCAGCAAATTGTAGCCCTGGAGGTACTCATCTAGGCCAAGAAAGCGGGAAAACAGCCCCTGGCCAACTGATTGGAAGAGATCTATATCCGTGCCTATTCCAAAGAGATGTGACCCAACAGAATACAGAAATCATTGGACAATAATATAAATATCTATCACATGCAAGTAAAACTCTTCTAAAAGTATTTAAAAAGTGGCTGTAACAGTACCTTAACAGGACACTGCCAGAGAGTAAAACCAGATTCATATGAGGACAATAAATGTGGGGTATCACTGCTGATGTCAGATGCATCTTGGCTGAAAGCAGAGAAAATCAGAAAGATGTTTTATTGTGCTTTATTGACCATTCAAAGGCTTTTGACTATGTGAATCATAACAAGATCTGGACAACATTGAGGAGAATGAGTATTCCAGAACATTTAGTTGTGCTCATGAGGAGTCCATAGGTAAACAGTCGTTCAAACAGAATAAGGGAACACTAAATGGTTTAAAATCAGGAAACATCTGTGTCAATTCTTTCACCAGACTTAATGCATCTATATGCTTAGCCAATAATCCAAGAAGCTGGATTATATGAAGATGAACGTGGCATCAGAATTGAAGTGAAACTAATTAACAACTTGCTGATATACAAATGAGACAACCTTGCTTGCTGAAAACGAAGAGGGCTTAGAGTACTCACTGATGAAGATCAAAGATCATGGTCTTAGGTATGGGTTGCACCTCAGTGTAAAGAAAGCAAAAATTCTCACCACTGGTCTAATAATAGCATCATGATAAATGGAGAATTGATTGAAGTTACAAAGACTTTATTTTGCTTGGATCCATCATCATGAAAGCTGTAGTCAAGAAATCAAATGATGAATTGCATTATGCATTCTATTGTACAAGACCTCTTTAAAGTTTTCAAGAGCAACCATATCAGTGTGAAGACTGAATGTCCTCAAAGGTTCATTGTCCACCTTTCACATGCATATGAGGCTATTGACAATATTTGGGTATTTTCAGTAACCTCATGTGCATGTGAAAGTTGGACAATGAATAAGAAAGACAGTAGAAGAATTGATGCATTTGAGTTATGGCTTTGGAGAAGACTATTAAAGGCACCATGGACTGCCAGAAGAACAAATACATCTGTGTTGGAGGTGGTACAACCAGAATGTTCCTTAGAAGCAAAGATGGCCAGACTTCATCTCTCTTAATTTGGACATATTATCAGGAAGGACCAATCCCTGGAGAAGGACATAATGCTTGGTAAAGTGGAGAGTTAGCAAAAAAGAGGGAGACCCTTAACAGGATGGATTGGCACAGTGGCAGCAACAGTTGGCTCAAGCTTAACGATTGTTAGGTTGGTGCATGACAGGGCAGTGTTTCATTCTAATGTTCATAAGGTCACTGAGTTGGAACCGACTCAGCCTAACACCAACAACAAACAGCACTGTCAGCTGGACTGGCTCCTGGCCTGCTCACTGGTGGACTCAGTCAGAGTTATGTTCATCTCCTGCCCTCCAGCCAAGTGACATGTATTGTGGGCACTGCAAATATCCAGCTCCCACGTTCCTTGAGACTTTGTACATGTTGTCTGAAATTTTCTGCTAAACCCAATTGGTAAGATAAGAAAACATAACATCAGAACTTACGCATTAGAAGAACAGCCCAGGAATCCACTTTTAAGAAATGCTACATCAGGAATTGTCTTGGTGGCAAAAGGTGGGACTGTGTGGAGAAGTCTAAGTGATAAGAATTGTGTCCCTATTTAATTGGCAGCACTTTTTTCCTTTTTTCATGGTTGTTGCTGTGAAGTGCCATCTAGTCAGTTCTGATTCATAGTGACCCTCTATAGAGTTTTGTATCATTATATCAGTGAAAAATTAGCTGAAATATTTTAATAAACTTGGATAAATATGGGCTGGATATAAATCAGGTCTGGTAGCGTAGTGGTTACGAATCGGGCTGCGAACCTAAAGGTCAGCGGTTCGAAACTACCAGCTGCTCCGCGGGAGAAAGATGAGGCTTTCTACTCCCATAAGGATTTACACCCTCGGAAACCCTGTACAGGGTCGCTATGGGTCGGAACCGACTCGATGGCACGTAACAACAACAATAAATCAGGTTGTTCGATCTATTAAAGATTTTATTATTTATAACCTTATAAAAGAATCGATATATATAAAAGAGGTTATGCTGCATTCTGGGAGAATGGGTGATGCTTATATATATATTTTTTAGTTTTCTGTTTCCTTCTTACATTTAGTAATATTCAAAGTAATGGTATGTACTATAATAAAGAGGGGATGGTTAATTGTAACGACACCCAGAACTCTGATTGGAGTACAAGAGTGAGACTACTTGAAGGCAGGGTGGTATTAAGAATTTCCCATTTCTCCCTTTCTTGTTTAGCTGGTTCTCTTTGCATCCTGTTGGTTCATTGACTTAAGTCAGTTGAATGGGAAGCTTTTGTTTTTCACCTTCCTTAGCTGATGAGGTGTAGTGATTATAGATTCTATCAAGTGAAAACCAACTCTATTCTTAAAAGATCCATATGCCTGTTTTGAAACAGATGAACAAGAATAGAAGTAATGACTTTATTTTTATTCCACAATGAGGTTATTGAGGTTGGAAGTCAAGCTCTACCTTCACTGGTGCCACTTGCTGCATTTTCTTTGCAGAGGCATTTGCTTACCCTTTCTTGGTTATCCCTTAGCATTTCAAAGCCTGGGACTGGTTTCTGCCAGGGCAGGAATTATGTAAGGAGCTCCTGACTAGGTCAAATGTGTGAAAGCATTATAGGGTTAAGTACCTATGCCCAGTCATTTCTAGTCACTCTTCATTTAAAAACAGACAACAATAAAAACATACTTTAAAAATGTATATTAATCGTTGCAATGAAACAAAATATGACAGGATGAATATAAAACCGTTGTTCTCCCATGTGAATTGTCACTCAATTCACAACAAAAGCTTTTAAAAAAATGTACATTAAAATTTTTTCTTCAGTCTTGCTCTTTTCCAATCATTGTTTTCTAGCTTGGTCATGAGTACCAACAGTAACTCATTGGCACGTGAATTTCTGACCGATGTCAACCGGCTTTGCAATGCTGTGGTCCAGAGGACGGAGGCCAGGGAGGAAGAAGAGGAGGAGACACACATGGCAACCCTCGGACAGTACCTCATTCATGGTCGAGGATTTCTGCTGCTTACCAAGCTAAATTCTATCATTGATCAGGTAATGTTTTCATATCAAATAATTTTTGCCATCTGTTTTGTTGTATGAGGGGACTTCAAAAGCTTATGGAAAATGGAAATTAACGAGACTGGATTTTTACCATGAACTTTAAAAAAAATGTTGTAAGTTGGATAAAGGCTAATCTAGCAGATCGCCAGTTTTACATTTGGCAATTTGTGCACATTTTGCTTCATTTTATTTTTTTGTTTCCATTCTTCCTTTTTTTCCAACCCTCTGATCTTTGTCCTTGAGTAAATGTTCTCCTTTAATCTCAGATGGTTGATTATCCTAAGGTGTGTGTACCTCACACTAGTGAGATGTGTTCAGTTCTACTGTGAACTTTCTCAAGCCCATTAGAGTTCATAATTTCTGGGTCTGTTTCATACACACTCCTTCCTCTCACATCATTATCAAAGAAAAATAGCCCCATTTATTACATATTATCTATTTGAATATATTTCAAGATGTCCGAAATAGCTTTGAATTGTAAGTGCCCTTTCTTCTAAAATACTTTTAGATATACTCTGCTATTTAGTGTGAGATAACTATGATTATTAAGGAGCTCTGGTAGCGTAGTGGTTACGACTTGGGCTGTGAACCGCAAGGTCAGCAGTTCGAAACTACCAGCTGCTCCGCGGGAGAAAGATGAGGCTTTCTACTCCCATAAAGATTTACACCCTCGGAAACCCTGTACAGGGTCGCTATGAGTCGGTTCCGACTCCACGGCACATAACAACAACAACAACAACAACAACTATGATTATTAATGCAAATGTAGACTGTGGAATTGCACTTTCTATAAACATCAAGTGTTTTTTTTGGGGGGGGGAAGTGTAAATTACATTTAGGGAGCTTGCTTGAAATAATTTGGTGGAAAGCAGAGAATCCTTTGTTGTTGTTGTTAAATGCCATCGTTGTTACAATATCAGGTCCGCCATTTTAGGCTGTACCTTCTGGGTTTTTTCCTCTCCCCTCCCTTCAACTCCATTTTGTTATCTTAGGTTTCTGTTTCCCCACCCTAAGCTACAAGGCACGTAGTTTAAAGGGCAACATGGCTTTTGATAGGCCAGAGCTAAATCACCTTAGCAATGACCACTCCCTTCCTGTTGAACCTATATAAGACCACTCCCTTCCCATTGACTCTCTCTTCTCTTCTCTTCTCTCCATTCCTCCCCTCCCCTCCCCTCATCTCCCCTCCCCTTCCCTCCCCTCTCCTCTCCTCTCCTCTCTTTTGCCTCTTGCCTTCTCTCTCTGGCAGAGGTCACCTTCCTCTTCCTCACCCTGAATAAAAGTCTCTAGATGGGCCATCTGGTGTGCGGTGTGGTTGATGAGCAGCACCGGGTTGTTTTTTCCCTTTCAATCGTGTTGGTTCTGACTCATAGAAACCATGTATAGGGTTTTAGAGGAGCAGCTGGTGAGTTTGAACCAACGACCTTGTGGCTAGCAGTCCAGTGCTTATCCTACAGTGCCACACCAGAACTCTGAGAGAATCCTATAATGTAAACTAATAATTATTGACAATATGATATTTTGCTATTTCCTTATTAGAGAATTAATAGAATTTTGTTTGATGTTATTAAGTGCTGTCAAGTCAGTTCCAACTCATAACAACCCCTGTGTAGGGTTTTGAGGAGCGGGTAGTGACTTGCAGTTCAAACTGACCTTGTGGTCCAGTGCCACACAAGGACTCCAGTTATAACTACAGAGATGTTTTTATCCAGTTTCATTTTATAGATGAGAAAACTGAGATCCAGAAACATTAAGTGACTCAGACAAGATTAGCTTAAAGTCTAAATTTGGTTTATTTCCTTTTAGAAGCAAACATTTATTATATTAAAGAATGACTTTACAATCTGCTTTCAGGAATTAGTGACTATATTTAAATAATAATACTATAGCAAGCTTGAAAAGGTTACATGGTCTCTGTAGTACCAGTATGATAGATTTTTTTTTTTAACCCTTAAATAATCCTGGCTCTAGGTATAAGCTGCTTGTTGCTAAGTGCCATCGAGTCGGTTTCGACTCCTAGTGACACTATATAGGGCTTCTGAGGCTATATGTCTTTGTGGGAGTAGAATCTTTCTCCCAGATACATGTTCAACCATTATGAAATCCTTTCTCTTTGCTGTGACAGCATTGTGCCAGGTCAGCAGTTTGAATACAACAGCCAGTCTTCAGGAGAAAGATGGACACCCCACAGGACAATTCTCTTCTGTCCGGTAGGGTCAGAATGAATTGGAATTCGACTGAGTGGCTTGTGCTTTTTGAGTTTCCACTTTTTGAGTGATTTTAATTTTGAAATTTTGATGATTTACTATACTATCCTCATCATCTTACTATGCATTAGGAAACATAGTGTTTCTTCTTTTTGGTCATGAAATAACTTATAACATTAAATGCCTGAAATAGTTCAAGTTAGACTTTAATAATTTTAAAGTTTTTTATCCTCCTCTCCACTAACTTTTTGGAAATATCTTCATTATTGATAATAGGATTGGTAAATCTGGCTTTGGAGTGAAAATAAGTCCTGTTTTAAAAATCAGGCTTATTTATTGGCATTTAATTGTTTAAATAAACAAATGGAGAATTACTATTTACATCTTTAAGAGGAATTTCACTGAAGAGGATTTCATCGTTTATGATAGAACTCTTACCACTCAGAGCAAAGCTGCATGTTTCAGAAGGACCTTTAGCATCTTTATTTGTGCTACTCATGAAGAGTACTTCTTGGGGCCTCTGGAGAAAAGGCACTTTAAGCCCTTGCCCTTCCATTGCAGGGCATTTACTTTCTTAATAGATGTTTAATATAAAGAATCATACTATTTACATTTAATAAAATGCATAGATATTCAATGTATAGTTGGATGCAGTTTGACAAATGGATACACCTCTATACAATTCATTGTTAATAACATTTTCGATCACCCTGGAAACTTTTGTCATGTCTCTCTCCAGTCAGCCTCCTTTCACCTGCTGTAATACAACCATTGTTGGGATTCCTAGCCTCTTAGTTTAATTTTGGTGTCCTGCTGTGGCGTTGTAGGACAAGCACTTGGTGCGAAGTCAGTTTGAACGGCATTCAGCAAGGAGAAGGACAGGAGCCACACAGCAGTCACTGACCCATTGACGGGCTGGCTGAGTTGAGTCAGGCACATGTTGTCATGCTGCTGGTTTGGGAGCCGGTTATTTGCTTTTGTGCTGCGTGTTTGTGTTTTGTGCTCGTGTGCTGTGTCTGTGGTTCTCCAGTCTGCGGTTCTCTAGGGCTCGTGGCATTGTGCCCCCAGGTATTTTTCTCTTCTCCAGAACAGATGGCCCATGATTTGCCGTTTTCTAACCCTGCTTCTTGTCTGTTGAAGGGTAGGAACCCAGAGATCTCTTCATTTGGATCTATTTCTATCCCTTTTAGTCAAGCTGTTACTTGTTTTTAAAAAAAGTACAGCTTGCTTAAAAATGCTATATGTTTCTCCTAAAATCTTAATGGGGTTCACAGCAGGCCCCAAAGGCCGCATCTGTAATTGTTTTCAAGACAGACAGCTCTCTACTGTGGACTTGTCTGGCTTGAATGAACAAAGCCCTCAGGATTCTTAATCAGAGTTACATCTTGCTGACAGGGTCTCCGGGGTACCATCTTTAGTCTTCCCAACAGAGTGTATTGCAGTTTGTATAACACTTGGAGGGGGGTCAGTTGGGTGTGGGTGTGCTTTTGTGGGTTGGGACAAAGAGGACAGTGGGGCTGGCTGCCGAACTCTACAGCCTCCAGGCAAAATCCCAGCATCTAGAGGATTGTTGCCTGCCCCCTGCCCCCATTGGCCGGTTTTTGTATAGAGCTAAGAATAGTTTTGCATTTTTTACTTGTTTTGGAAAAACTAAAACCAAAAACAAGAAGATAGAGACTCTAAATGCCTCATGAAATCTAAAATATTTATTACCCAGCCCTTTACAGAAACGGTTTGCCTCACCCCTAGTCTAATCCAAGAACAAATGATAGCATATTGGTTTACATTACAGTGTAAATGACACAACTATCCTGAATATCAAAAGACATTTGATAATATTTATGTGTTCTTCACACAACCTAAAAACAATTAAGAATAGAGGGCTTCCTTTGTATGACAAAGAATAAAAGAACCAATAATATTTTTAAGAGGCAGCTCGACAATAGAACCAATGTAGTAATAACTCTTATTACTATTTCTTTGACTCATGTTTTATAAACATGCAGTAGAAGAGTAGAATGTAAGGTTGCTGTTGTTGGTAAGTGCTGTCTAGTCGGTTTTCACTCATAGAGACTGTACAGGGTTTCTGAGGCTATAAATTTTTGTAGAAACAAAAAGCTTTATCTTTCTCCTATGGAGTGGCTGGAGGGCTTCAACTGCTGACCTATGGTTTGCAGTCCAGTGCATATCCTCTACAACCACTGTGCTCCCAGAAAATAAAATCAATGAGTGTTAAACATGGGGTCCTGGTGTGGGGCTATACAACAAACACTGGACTGCTAACCAAAAGGTCAGTGGTTTACACCTACCAGCTGCTCCTTAGAAACTGTATACCAGGTCACTACTCAACAACAACATCAACAAATATGGGAAGAACCTTGATGTGGCACTGTAGGATAAGCAGTGGATTAGTAACTGCAAGGTCAGCAGTTCAAACCCACCAGTCACTCTTAGAAACCCGACACAGTTTTGCTATGAGTGGGAACTGAGTCGACAGCATACAACATGGGAAATATGGGAAGAATGGAAAACTAAAATACCATATTTTAATGTTGTTGTTAAGTGACGTCAAGTCGGTTCACACCCCTAGCGACCCTGTATAGGATTTCCAAGATGCATCTGGTGAGCTTGAACTGCCAACCCTGCAGATCACACTGACTTTGTAGTCTATCTAGCACATGAACCCACAGCGCCACACCAGAACAGAAAAAGCCAAGGCATCATTCAGAAACGATTAGAGACAATGCATTCTGCAAACTTTCAGAACTTACATTTAGTTTCCTT